CAAATTGTGATTTCAGTCACTCAAGTATGCCAACGTCTATCATGCTATCAATAATGTTATTGTTTCGGTAACGACAACTTGCCTATATATCTATCTGTGCATAAAACTTTACAGAAAAACGAGAAGTCTTACCTGCAAAGTTGGAAGATTCCAGAAACAGGTTGGCAATAATTAAAAAAACGTTTTCGAGTGGAAGCACGATGACCCCATGTATGAAGAATTAGTTTGGGCATAGTAAACAACATTTCTACGCTTTTAGGTGTTTATCCAATCATTTTTCATCTGCCTCATAAACGTCATAGCAGCATATATCTATGTATACATGCAGTATGGTTCTCCGTCAAAATGGTTTGTAATTACTGGACAAATAGCTTGGCAACTTAGTGCAGGTAACCGGTCTAGGCTAAATTGCTTTTCCTTCTCATCACTTATAAATTTTCAAGGATTTGTTTGCATTATCTACTTGGCGATTAATCGTACGATTCGACGAGGCGTGCTTGAAGTGCTGGTACCACAACGATGGATTGGAAGGGTTAATTCAATGCTTGTGCCCACTGCTCTTGCATCTGGAAACCACAGCCAAAGCGGGATCAAAATTTGATAGGATTGCTTGTTATAAAGTAATGAAATTGTCGCCGTTCTGACCTGGACAGCTGTATGCCGCCTGAGTACCCGATATAAAGCTGCACACATATTGCCTTCCATTGGCCATGAAGGAATAGGTGTTTACTATGCTGATTTTTACATCTTGCTACCATAAAATATGTAAAGCAACGTTATCTCGCCATACTTTTAATTTGCCGGAAGAATTTGATAAAGTCAGTAAGTTCAACCTCATGCAAACGATAAAGTTAAGCGTGTAGTCTTCAACAGCTACAAGCGAGATTTGCTTGAGTTACAAGCGTGGTCAATCTAAAGAAGATATAGTAGAATCCTACCGGATATCGATACCGCCTATGGTTTAAGGCATACCTCACGCGATTTCAGTCGCTGCGCGATATGGCAGTGTAGCGACTCTTGGTAACTGGTTGTAAATACACTTTGCTAAGGTCAGACTTGCTGCGCTTGTTACAAGTCAGAGAATCTACGCGCCCAAGCATATAAAAGCCGCGCATGCTCCATACGTAGACATCTGGCAAATCGCCAAATCGCGAGAATGTGGCGATTTTACGGAATCGCGAGAGGTATGCCTTACGCCTATGAAAAGTAGGTGAACTTATATCGTGCTCGAGTTTTTTT